GAATTTAATTAATTGATTATTGAATGTCAAACTTACCTTGCATATCTGCATAAATTTCATTTGGACATGGTATATGATTCTTACACATTGTTGGATTTGATTTGCTAATATTTTCTTGAAGAATTTGCTTCTATGTTCATGTGAGATATTGGTCTATAATTTTCCTATCTAATTATGCCTTTTTCTTGTTTTGGTGTTAGGGTGATGCTGGCCTCATACAATGAGTCAGGAAGTTCTTCCATATTTTGGAAGAGATTTTATTGAACTAGCATTATTTCTTTTTTTTAAATATATTTTATTGATTATGGTATTACAACTATCTCAAATTTCCCTTTTGTCCCCCTCTGCTTGGTTCCCCCCTTCCCTCCAGCGATCCCCACCTTAGGTCTTGTCCATGGGTTGTGCATATAAGTTCTTTGGCTTCTCCATTACCTATACTGTTCTTAACATCCCTGTATCTATTATGTACCTACTCAGTTATGCTTCTAAATCCCTATGCCTTTTCCCATTTTCCCCCTTTTCTTTCCCAGCTGATAACTCTCCAAATGGTCTCCATATGTCTGATTGTATTCCTGTTCTAGTTTGGATAGTTTTTGTTTTTTAGATTCAATTTGTTGATAGTTGTGAGTTTGTTGTCATTTTAATGTTCATAGTTTTGATTTTTTTCCTAAATAAGTCCCGTTAATGTTTCATATAATAAGGGCTTAGTGATGATGAACTCCTTTTGCTTTACCTTATCTGGGAAGCACTTAATCTGCTCTTCACTTCTAAACAATGATTTTAGTGGATAGAGTAATCTAGGCTGTAGGTAGGTCCTTGCTTTTCATCACTTTGAATGCTTCTTGCCATTCCTTTCTTGCCTGCAAAGTTTCTTTTGAGAAGTCAGTAGATAGTCTTATGGGAACTCCTTTGAAGATAACTCTCTGCCTTTCTATTGTTGCTTTTAAGATCTTCTCTCTATCTTTAATCTTTTGTATTTTAATTATGATATATCTCAGTGTGGTTGTCTTTGGATCCAACTTGTTTGGGACTCTCTGTGCTTCCTGGACTTGTATGTCTAATTCCTTTGCCAAATTAGGGAAGGTTTTTTTCATTATTTTTTCAAATACATTTGCAATTTCTTGTTCTTTCTCTTATCCTTCTGGCACCCCTATGATTCCAATGTTGGCCCTTTTGGAGATGTTCCAGAGTCTTCTTAAATTCTCTTTGTCCTTTTAAAATTCTTCTCCCTTCATTTTTCTCTGGTTGAATGTTACTTCTTTCTTAAATTCCAAATCATTGCTTTGAATCTCAGCTTCCTTCCCTTCACTGTTGGATTTCTGTGGATTTTTCTTTATTTCCCTTAGGAGGGCCTTCATTTCTTCTGCCATATTCAATGAGATCTTTGAGCATTCTGACCATCAGTGTTTTGAACTCTGCATCTGATAGGTTGGCTATCTCTGCATCGCTTAGTTCTTTTCCTGGGGCCCTGTTTCTTCATTTGGGCCATATTTTTTTGTCTCCTGATTTTGGCTGCCTCCCTGTGTCTGTGTACTAGGTAGAGTTCCTTTGGTTGTTTTAGGGTACCTGTTAAGTAGTGTGGGGTGGACCCCTGGATATTCACCTAGGCGGAGCAACCGTGGCTCTGTGTGTTTGAGAGGGGTCAAAGAGGGGACAGTGCTTCTGCTGGCTGACTTCTGGGGACTTGCCTGGCCCTCGCCCCATTTCTAGTCACTTCACCCACTTCCTGCATGTGACTGATGCCCCTCTAGCTGCTGTTGTGGTTGTAGTTCCCAGGGTGGGTGGGCAGGTTTGCATGCTTTTTTATTTTCTTTTAGATTTTATTTATTAATTTTTAGAGAGGGGGAGGGAGGGAGGAAAAGAGGGAGAAAGACATTATTGTGTAGTTGTCTCTCACATGCCTCTTACTGGGAACCTGGCCCGCAACCCTGGCTTGTGCCCTAGACTAGGAATGAAACCATCGACCCTTTGGTTCTCAGGCTGACACTCCACTGAACCACAGCAGCCAAGGAGGGTTTGTGTGTGTTTTGGGCTCTCCTGAGACATCGGCAGTTTCTTCCACTGCCCCAACCCTCACTGGGTTTACAGCCAGGATTTAATGAGACTTTCTTTTTCCCCTGGCGCTGGGCAGTTGGCCTGGGGCTGAGCTGGCTTGCTCACAGGGTGATTTTTATCCACCACACGTGAATGTGGGGCTGCCCGTCCTGCAGGCCGCCACCGCCTCACAGCCTCTCCACCCTTGCTTCCCAACACACCGAGTCCTCTTTTCCCGGATACTCTGCCTCAGCCCTCCCTACCCCTCTGGATGAATATAGCTTCTTTAAATCCTTGGTTGTCAGACTTCCATACAGTTCTGGGTGATTTTCTGGGAATTGTGGGTGTTTTTCATTTTTAGTTGTGTTCCTTCTTATGGTTGTACAGTGAGGGTGAATAGTGTCTACTTATGCCTCCATCTTGACCAGAAACTCCTAAAGAACTAGCATTATTTCTTATTTAAATGTTTGCTAAAATTCACTTGTGAAACTTTCTGGGCCTGGTGCTTTCTGTTTGGGAAGATTATTAAATAAATAAATAGTATGTGTATATATATATATATTTACACATTTATTTCTCTCCCCCCCCAGATTATCTGTTTTACCTAGAGTTAGTTTTGTTAGATTGTCCTTAAAGCAGTCCATTTAATCTAAGTTATCAGATTTGTGGGCATAGAATTATTTATAATATTCTTTATTCTTTTAAGGTCCATGGGATCCATTGTAATAGTCCCTTTTCATTCCTTATGTTAGTAACTCATGTCTTCTCTTTTTTTTACTTGGTGATCCTGGCTAGAGTTTCATCAGTTTTATTGGCCTTTTCAAAAAACAAACAAACAAACAAACAAACCACCCAGCTTTTATTTATTTTGTTGTTTATTTTTGTTATTTTCTCCACTGAATTTACTCTGTTCAGAGTTCACTAACTTCTTGAATCTTTAAGATTTATTTCTTTTGCCTAATTTGGGAGGCTTTAACCATTACTTTAATGAGTGCTTTTTCATTCCTGCCTTCTCTCTCTTTCCTCCCAGTACTTGATGATATAAGTGATAGATCTTTTGGTGTAGTTCCACAGATCCCTGAGGCTCTGTTCATTTTTTACAGTCTATTTTCTCTGTTGTTTACACCAAAATTAGACAGTTTCTATTCTATCTTTCAGCTTAAAGATTCTTTTTTTCTATTTCCTACATTCTGCTCTTGAGCTCATCCACTGAGTTTTTTATTACAGCTATTGTTTGTTCTACACTTTCTCTTTGGTTCTTTTTTTAGGTCTTATCTTTCTTTCTTTTTTTACTGACACTTTCTATTTCTTGGCCAAGATGTTCTATTTTTCCAGTTTTTTCAAGCATGTTCTTAATTGCTGTTGAAGCATTTTTATGATGGCTGCTTTCAGGTCCTTGTCAGAAAATTTTAACAATCTGTCATCTCATTGTTGGCATCTGTTCATTATCCTTTTGCATTTATTTGATGTCTTTCTGGTTTTTGGTATAAGTAATTTTTTATTGAAACCTATATATTTTGGGTATTATATTATGAGTCTCTGGATTTTATTTAAACCTTCTGTTTTACCTGGCTTCCTCTGACACCTCTCTCTGTCCCTGGTAGGGGAAGGGAAAGGTGGCATCTCATTACCGCCAGGTCGGTGTAGAAGCTCAGGTTCTCATACTGCTTCCATTGATGCTCATTGCTGCTGGTTAGCAGTGGGAGTTTCAGCTGTCCACTAGACCTCACTGGTACTTACCTGTGGGAGGCGTTGGAGTGCCTTGATACTGCCTGCTATGGCTTCCACTGGTATCATGAGGGATAGAGTGGCCTATTAGTGTTCCTCAGTAGTAAGATTTTTGACTGACTACTAGGCCTTCTCTGATATCACCCAGCAGGGAGGGTGAGGGTTCTCCTGTGATTGCTGCAAGTCTAGGCTCCGCCTGTGGTGTCTGCTACCACCATGCGGTCTTAGTTGCTTACCACGTGACAGGGATGAAAGCTCAGGTCTCTACTTGGCCTTCTCTGGAATCTGCGAGATACTAGAGCATCTTGGTTCAATAATTTGACAGGGATGGAAAAGAAATCTACCCTTTGTTACTGTGGATTTGCCTATTCTGGACATTATTTCATATAAATGGAATCTGTAACCTTCTTAAACTGGCTTTTTTCAGTTAACATAATGTTTTCAATGTTGTGGCATATGTCAATACTTCATTTCTTTTTATTGCCAAATAATATTCCATTGCATAGATATGGCACATTTTATTTCTCTGTCAGATGATGGACATCTGGATTGATTCCACTGTTTGGCTGTTATGAGTAATGCTGCTGTGAACATTAATATTCAGGTTTTTGTGTAGACATGTTTCTGATTTTCTTTCTTTTCTTTTTAAGATTTTTAAATTTATTTATTTTTAGAGAGAGGAAGGGAGGGAGAGAGAGAGAGAGAAACATCAGTGTGTGGTTGCCTCTCACGTGGCCTCCATTAGGGACGTGGCCTGCAACCCAGGCATGTGCCCTGACTGGGAATCGAACCTGCAATGCTTTGGTTCACAGCCCGCACTCAATCCACTGAGCTACGCCAGCCAGGGCGTTTCTGATTTTCTTGGGTATACACACCTAGAAGTGGGATTGTTGGCTTCTATGGTAAACTCTTTTCTTAACATTTGAGAACTCCATTTTTTTTCTGTTATTCTTTTTTATCTTATTGTATTGTGAAGTTAGGAAAGAGGCCTAAGATACCATGTGGTCTCTTTTGGGTTCTTAGAAACAACTGTCTCCAGGCTTTAGATTTATTTTTTCTCTTATTCTTTGCTTCCATCTGTACTCTTACCACTGAAATTATAGGTACTGATAGTTAAGTTACTCAATAGATGTTTAAGTTAGATGAGTATCAAAGTGCTTTAAACCATTATGCATGCATAATTATTCATAGTCATGATGTTTATATTCATAAATTTACCTGTGCCTTTAATTACTTAGAAAAAAGAAAGTGAATGCCTGCAATTAAAAATTTTGGTGCTTCGGAATGAACTGGAAAGACAAAAGAAAGCTTTGGGACGGGAGGTGGCGTTACTGCATAAGCAGCAAATTGCACTGCAGGACAAAGGTAAGTAAGAACACCTTACAGAGAGTCTAACCTCCACGTTTACATTTTCCTTCCTTCTTCCTAGGCTCAAATAGTCATCTTTGTATAAATGTGCTGGTGTAACTTAAAAACTTTTGAGGTATTTTGAAGTTGATTCACCCAGAAAAATGTACGAATATATGCACACACACTATATTTCAGAATCTTGATCAAGAAACAGAGCATTACAAGGACCCCAGAATCTCAGAAACTTCCTCATAATCCCATCCATTCTGTACATCTCCAGCTGGACTAACTGCTGCCTTATTTACTATACCAAAGATTGTTGGGTTGTTGTCTTTTTTTAAAGATTTTATTTATTTCTTTTTAGAGAGGGTGGGGGAGGGAAGAAATATTGATGCACGAGAGAAACATTGATCTGCTGCCTCTTGCAAGCCACCAACTGGGGGCCTGACCTGAAACCCAGGCATGTGCCTTGACCAGAATTGAACCAGCAACTCCCCGGTTTTCAGGAAGACGTCCAGTCCCCTGAGCCACACCAGTCAGGGCCAAAGATTGGTTTTGCCTAATTCTGAGCTTTGTACAAATAGAATCCTATAATATATACATTTTATGTGCTGGTTTTAGTTTAACATTTGTTTGTAAAATTCATCCCTACCTGCATGTAATGTAGTTTTAGTTTATTCTTACTGCCAATAGTATTCCACTGTATGAATATGAATTTATTCTTGCTTTTGGCATTTCAGTAATTTCTAGTTTAGGACTAGTACAGATAATACTTCATGAATGTTATAGTACATGTTTATTAATGAAGATGTTTTTCTTTTTTTTTTTCTTTTGCATTTCTGTTGGTTATAAATCTAGGAGCAGAATTACACAGTCATGGCATATGCATATCTTTAGTTTTTGCAAGTTGTGTCCAAAGCTTTCCAAAGTGGTTTTGCCAATTTACCTCCTTTCCATCCAGCAGTGTATCGGGTCTTTTGTCTTCCTTGTCAGTGTCTGGTACTTCCTGACTTTTGTGTTTTAGCCTTTCTGTTAAGTATGTTGTATCACCTTGCAGTTTTAATTTTGATTTCCCTGAAGACTAATGAAGTTGAATACTATTTCATATGTTTCTTGTTGATGGGGATCTACTCCTCTGTGAAGTACCTACTGAGGTCTTTTCCCCATATTTTTATTGGCTTGACAGGTTTTTTAATAGGAGTTCTTCATATATAATGGATATGTGTTCTTTGAATATGCATTAAACATATATTCTCCCATTCTGTTGCTTGCTAGTTCATTCTTTAATGATACCTTTACATGAGCTGAAGTTCCATTATATCAGGGTTTTTAAAAAAATATTTAAGGCTTTTTGTGACCACTTTAGGAAAGCATTGCCTATTTTAATGTCATGAAGATGTTCCTCTGTGGTTTCTCTTAAGTGCTTTACTATTGTACTTCTTACATTTATGTTTATAATTTATCAGGGATTGATTTTGTGTGTGTGATATAAAGTAAGAGTCAAGATTCATTTTTTTCATATAGACAGTCAGTTGACCCAGCACTGTTTATTAAAGACTTCCTTTTTCCACTGCACTGCAGGTTCACTTTTGTCATAAGTCAGGTGACCATATACTTGCGTGTCTGTTACAGGACCCTCTCTTCTGGTCCATCGACCCATTTTTCTATTCTTTTGCCGTTATCTCAGTGTTTTAATTTTTCTCATGTTATAATTGGCCTTGCTATCAAAGTTCTGCTTACTTTTTCTTCAAGATCACCTTCATTATTTTTGTGCTATTGCATTTCCATATGAATTTTCTTGCTGAAAGGAAAATCTTGCTAAGATTTTCAGTGGGACTACATTTACTATGTTTATCAATACAGTTGGGGGATAATAGATGTCTGCAACGTGTCTTCTAAAAGCAGGGAATGGTATATGCCTTTATTAGATCTTTGCAAAACACTATTGAAATTAACTAGTATATGGATGTTTCTCATGATTTATTGAATTTCTTTTGATGTTTTATGATACTACGATAAACATCTTTAGATTTTACTTTCTACTTGTTTATATTTAGAAATACATTTTTTTTCAGTAGTATTGATTTTCATTATATGTGCAAAGACAAATTAGCAGTTGCTAATATTAGAGTCAAATTAGCAGTTGCTAATATTAGGGTTATGGCCCTGTAGCTTCAGCTCTAGCTCTGGTTATTTATTTACTTACATTGTAAGTCAATTATATTTATAAATACATCTAATATTTAATGAATCTTGAGCTAAGTTAAAGTATTTTAAAAGCACGTGAGTCCCTGGTATTGGTACATTGAAGGAGAAAAGTGCATTTTTCACTTTGCAGCTTTGATGTAGTGTGTATGCTAGCCCATGGTGAAATGATTTGCTAATGTGAATATTGCTAGTGACTTCTTACATATTAAGACTTTTCTTTGGCACTTGGTTCTTAGCTCAAGAGTTCAATTAAGATACAAAGTCAGTAATATGTGATATTTAATCTTTGCTACTGATTTTCCTGAATGACCATAAAGGAACTACTTAGCTTCTGCATCTTTTTTACACATCTGTGCAGTAAGGATAGCTAGCAGCTCATAATATTGCCATAGGGATTAATTTGTGTAAACATTTGGGAAGAAACCAGGTGCCTGTTATATATTTTATATTTTTTGTTTATAAAAATTATTGCAGTGGGATGATTTATTTGAAAAAGCAAAAAAGATCATTTTTATCCATGCTGCTGAGTGGCCACATAACTCTGAGGGCCTCATTAGTCCATAACCATTAAGTTTCCCATTCCCATCCCCCAGAGGCACTGGTTCTCAGCTTGTGGTCTACAGCAACTTCCAGCTGGGTCATGAGCTGATATTTTCAGTATTAATGTTTATTAATGTATATATTTTCATTTCTGGTGGATATTAGTAGTTTAACTTATGATATTTAATAAAAAACAGATTTCCCCTCATTAGTGTCTTAAGCTGGATAACCTTTCTATTGAATAATTATATGTTGGTTTACAGGATCTTCTGCCCTAACTTCACCCCGCAATCTTTGAGAAGCAGCAACACTCTATCTAAATTAGTTTGCTTGAAATTTGGTTTAGAAAATGGTATGAAACATTGATCCTGAGGAAATATGTTTAGTAGAACCTAAATAAATTTTATAAATGTTGATAAAATTTAAGAACAACTCAGTGGTGCCTGCAGAGTGATACTAACTTTATAAAAACAGAATTCCTGAACCTTTGTAGGAAGAAGCTGCTTTTTAATGCAGTTAGTGTCTTCATAGTGACAATAACATATGTAGTACTTTATAGTTAGAAAGTGCTTACACACAGATTATCATAGTTGATCATTAAAGCTTTCCTGAAAGCTAAGTATGGCAAATATGTTACCTTCATTTCACATATGAGATGCTGAGGAGGTAAGTGGCCAGCCTCAGACAGACAGAGACACAGTTGAGGTACAGACCCAGACTTTTTGTCTCCAAGTTCTATGCTTTTCTCACTGTTCCATACTATTAAAAACTTTGCAAAATACATTTATTTGGATCTTGCATAAATCCTGTGAAGCAGATAACTTATCGAGATCCTGTCATATGCCAGATATTTCACTTAAGGTATACCATTTAATTCTTAAGACAGTCTTTGAGATAATAACTTTTACCTCCTTTTTCTTGGAGTAAAAGAACTGGGACTCAGACACTTCTCAGTGTCGCACGAATAAGTAACAGATCCAAATTCAGGTTCAGGTTTCTTTGATTCCAAAGCCTGTCTTGTTTCTACCAAATAAAATGTCACTATTCTTTTCTCTAGTATGTGTCCAACACATAAACTGATGGCTCGTGAATTTTCCATGTGGTCTGCGGGCTTACAGATGGAGGACTGTGTTCCGTTCTGTTTTTATTAAGAGGAGGGGTGAAATGGATTTGCTTCAGTCATTTCTTTGATTAGGTTTCATCTTAGTTAAGAAATTAGAATTGAAGATATGCCATCCCCTCAGTCTGCCCTTAAACAAGTCGCTCAGCTTTTTTGGACATAGTTCCTCTTCACAAGCCAAGCCAAAGTTTGAGTTTTATAGTCAAGATTTCCTACAGCTCTTTTGGTTTTAGTTGTCTCAGGAGGATACGGGCAGAAAGATGAGGATCAGTTCACCTTTTTTATGAATCTCTTTATTTCTCAAAGTTTCATGACAATGATCTACTTCCCATCAATGAAAGAAAATTCTTTGACCCAAGTGTGTCTATAAATGCCATTTGTTAACTGAAAACTCATTTGATGGGATCCACCTCTTGGGATTCTGTAACTAGCTTTATTCAGTTCCTGTTTTACAAATTTTTTAATTTGTTTTAGTAAACAGGTGCAAGAACAAGTACATTGGTTTAGTGACATTGTGTGTAAAAGATGTAAGCTTTCATCGCTCAGATTTGGAGAAAGAAATTCCTCTTGGTAATTCCAGTGAATGAAAGTTTTGATTTTTTTATTGCCAAAATAACAAATGTTTTATAAGATGTTCCCAACAGTTATGATTTCTTTTTGTCATTTTATAATAAAGTTTAATAATCAAGGTCAACTATGTATCTAGTTTGTTCTATTTGATTAGCTTCCGTCTTGGTCAATAAATTACTGTGTTCTTTTAGCCTGCATCTCAAATAAAAGATGAATCACATAGTACATTTACATTGGTACTTAAAGTTCCTGTCAAAAGTTCCAGATTTTTATTTGAAGTTATAAAGATATTTTATTTACTATTATGTAATAACTTTCTCCTTTTAGGTCCTAAGGTCACAAATTGAAAAAATTACATCTCACAGATTTTATACTTCAAGATATACTTACTTGAAATGATGGTAAAATTTAAATTTTATTAGTCTGTGTGTGTGTTCTGCTTTTTTATAACCATCTGACAGCAGTTCCTAAACAGACTTTCTTCGAAATTGTTACTATTTGCCTTTCAAATGTTTTTTGTGCCTGAGGACAATTTTCCCCTGGAATTCACGCTGTTAAAGTCTCCTTACTTTCAGCT